ATCTATATCAAATCGTCCCACCTTATTTGCAAATGTTATCTGAAACATTCACGTCATGAAATATGCATTGAGATTAACATGTTCTGGATTTTTGGAGTGAATGACTGAATATGGATAGAATTATTAATGTGTAAAGTACCGTGCCATTCGACATGTGATGATGCCATTGCAATTTCCTTCCGCTATGCTTTTTTTTATAAAACTCTTCGACTTCCGGAATATAGTCTTCCAGTTGTAGTGGCAAACTTACAGTGACGCGTTCGCTACCCCTGGCCCACGCACCTGCATTAAGAATCTACAAAAAATATAGCAGATTCTCTTTATAGCTTTAACATCTTTTCTTTTTTTTTTATACTAATCTTAAAATGAGAACACGCACATTTATCAAGAAACAGTATATTACCTTAATATTTATGCTATCTGCAATAGCAGCTCGACATTGTTCCTTAAATTGTTGATTCAGATCCTGAGATACTTTAATATCTTGGAACATACGGGCTAATTTATTAACAAAATCCGCGGGCATGCCAACTTCACGAAGCATATCTACCATATTTTCTTCTTTTTCCGAATCCGTTGTTGTATCTAATATTAACCGTCTAGTTAAATGCGCCTTATGATAACGCATAAATACGTCCTTATTTTGAACATATTTTAGCACCAACAACTAAAATAAAAAATGCAAGACAGAATAAACTTCTCAGAAAAGATTTGATTTCTAACTTCTACAGATATAGTTATCTCATTGTATATACTGACCACATCCTTCAATTTATTTTCGATTTCATCAGTAGTTAGTTTCTTACTGAGTGGTGTTTTTCTAAGAAGCATATCACAGAAATTTGCTAAGAGTTCTGGACACTTCGATTCAGCTAGTCCATTATTATTAGTAATAGGTCTATTATTTAAAATGGATGCGCAACAGATTCCAGAGCCCTGCCGAGTAGACAAATCTAACTTAAATACCGTGGCGTCATTCACAACGAGCTTATAAGCTTTATCTCGTGCTGTAAGAAACCGTGGATCATCATCGAATGCCTCTTTAACGAGTGTGGAAAATCTATGGAAAAGATCTAACAGTCTTTCCACGTATTTTTCTGAATCTTGAGTAATAACATCTACAGCTGCCATCATATCTGCTAGACCTGCGCTCGCGATATGTTCTTCCAGATTTCTCAACATAGGATTGACACCGTCGGGTACTCTATCCATTAATTTCAGCATGAGGCGAAGTTCTACAATTATTTATTCATGTTAATAAACATCGATCATAGAAGCAGCATTGTAAAATTAATCATAAACTAAGACATAAAAAAATTACATTGCGAATTTTGATTACTTACTATCAGTTTGATTATGTTGAATCATCCGTGGACATTCAGCAAGTATCGCTGGTTTAAAGGTTGCAACTAACACTTTCACGCAACAATCTGTTAGTCGTTGCATACTCGCAGAATTTGGTTCCAAATATTTCTGAGCGCGTGCCTCTTCTTCCCTTAATTTCAAATCGGCGTAACGCATATAATTTTCGACACCGTGCATAGACAGATATTCTGGAGCTTTTATCCAGTAAAATGCTTCAGTAGCTTGTATATACGCCGCTTCAAAATTTTCTCTATATATCTGGAGTTTATCCGTTGGATTTGAACACAAATTCACTAGAGCATTATACCATTATTAATAAAAAAATTACTATATATAAATTTATGGATGTTTCATTTATTACCATAAGATTCTCTGACACCGATAACGAGTTGAGAATCAAACGCCTCGCCATTTCTTTCAGCTCGTACTAATCTCATGGCCGCATCTTGGAGTTTTTGTTTTATTTCATTGAATATACTTTGGTTCCAACTATCCAACATTAGCTGTATAATAGAGAGTAGTAAGATCATACAATATTACAATTATTACAAAATATTTATTATATCATGTATTAAATGTATTTGAGTCTTTTACCTTTCTAACAATGTCGTCGGGCTGAGTTTTCTTCTGCGTGCTGGAAGAACTAGTTTTTCCCGCGAGATACGTTTCTAGTTGCCTAAATGGTGTTGGTAAATAATTACATTGGGTAAAAAACTTTCTCCACTCGGCGATGTACGCTTTCAATAATGCTTGTTCTTCTTGATGCGCTAAAACTCTCTGTACAAAAATTTACAATCTTATATAATATTCGTTTATTTCAGTAAAATATATAAAAAAGATATACAGCCTTGATTTTAACCTATAAATAAACTCCCTTTCTCTTACCAGTTGAGCTTGTTTTATAAAGTCCATTATATCCTCCTGTAAAGCATCACGTAACTTGGGAGGTCCTTTGTCATCCCAGAGGCATACATGAACGGAATAAAACAAATCCTGCCATTCGCCTTGCGTCACTGGCTCTTGCTTGAGCAGTTTCAATATAATTGGACGCATGTATGGCCATTTATCCTCAAATGTAAATTGTGTCCTATCCTAAATATTAATACCACATGTCAGATAAGTGATTATATGAGAAAGGAGCAGAAAACACAAATATGTCTTGGGAATAACGTTTGATATCCAGCATGAATTCAATTAATCGATTAATTATTGAAACGTAAGATGGATTCAGATTCCTATTCGAGTGTTCTCTAACTATCATATTATTTGTTTAATATTCAATAAACAACAACAATAATAAAATAATATCTGGATAACACATGAGTAGGAATCTGAATACAACCTAAGCTGAATCGTCATTGCGATAAACAAAAAAAAGAAATCTTTCGGATCGCGATATCCGTAATTTCACACAGTCGGGACGCGCCCCCAGTTATCGCAACAATTTGTAGCAAGATAACGTCGACCGCATGGATGAAGTCCTCAAGGTCGGTACTGTGCCTCTTCTTCACAGGAATTTGTTTATTCGACGTTCACTAACCTTTAACAACGCCATCACAAACTCTTGACGGGCACGTCCACCAGGATTCGCAGGATTATACGCCAATGGACATGCACTTGATGCACACGCACGAACGGGCTCGTGCCGCTCGTGCGAACCTGCCGGTTAACGGGGGTTGTCAGGAGGGTCAGGTCAGGAAGTAGTGACGAAACCTCAGATTAACATGAAACACGACGTGATGTGGGCCACATCGCGCCAGGATTCCGCAATCGCTCGCCCTTCTGGCGCGGAGTGTGCGGACAAATCCTGGAGCGTCGTCTCCAGAGCGGAAAAATAAATTCGCGTGTTTCCTAGTCCTATCAGATCCCCTTTCCCTGTCACCTGCGTAGCTGCCAGTATCTGCGTACACTGTGCGATCGCAACAAAATCCCTCTCCTTTCGTACACGCAACTGGCAAAGTCTCGTGAACAATTCCCTATGCGATGTTCCGCGCGATTGGACGATCTCGCGAGAATTAATATGGCGGTTTCAATTTGTGATATCCTCGTACCGTTCATGTTCAATGGATGAATTTCGCATCGAAAATTTTTCAATGCATCATTGCTTTCTCGTTTTTTTTTTCTTTCGAAACTTCTTTCTCATCGTTTTTCCAATTTATATGCTTATATATATATATATATAAAACCTGCTTATATATATATATATATATATATATATAATATATATATATATATATAAAACCAACTAAAGTATGCAAGCATACGATTTAAAAATATGTGAAAAAATAAATATTTCAAATGAATTACAGTGACAAATGTATGAACGTTACATTATTATTTGACTTTTGATGCAAAGATACAAGTAGTCGAGAGGCCTAATTGCAGAATTGTACAAACCTAATTTTTATAAGACATTAAAATATTCTTTTTTGGTCAAATACACTTGTGGAACAAACGTCTAGCGATATGACGTCACAAAGTGATGTGGCATATACAGACAGTATAATAAATAAACATGAAAGCTGATTTAAAAATAAACTCAAAAGTACTCAAGTACTTATCCAATCTAGAATCCACGCACATCTCAATATGCCTTAATATGTAATATTAAAAAGAACTTATATTTAGTACACTTAAATCTCAATGGGATTCACAACAATCGCCTTTCTCTTGTCTTCTTTATTGTTGTTGTCCTCTTCTTGTTGCTGCAAATCATCCTGTCCTCTGATTCTGATGTTGTGCTTTTCCTTGTACTCGTTTATCTCAATTCCTTTTTTCGTTACCTGGTCATTTAAAGCGTCTATCACTTTCATCAACTGAAAACACATTAAATATTATTACGTGTTCAACGTTTTGCTCCAAGAGGGAACAATGAGTATGGTCAACACGATGCTGCAAATGCTTTGAACCATTTTTTAACTGTCAGTTGATTAAAATTCTTTCTTCTAATTGATCCGTCAAATATTTCAAAGCATTTGTAGCAAGACTTTGATCATAGTCAATAATGTCGCACCTGTTCTTTGTTCGTTACTAGAGCAGGCATCACGTCTTCCACTGTACGTTCGCATAGAAGCCCGCCAATCATCCTGAAGCACTTCCTCTTGGGATCCACATTCTTTAACGTGTCGATAACAATTCTAAAATGTTAATTATATTAGTGGGATGGCAACGAGTCGCGTGTTATTACTAGACGATTCTCGTGTCTCATTGTCGATCGACCAAGTTAAAAAATGCAAGCTCTCTTCGCATTCGCAGAAGCGTTTTCGATTGTCAAGAGGCAAAAAGGCAAGCGTATAGGTTAGGTAGACTCATACTTGTGTTCGTTCAATTCCATCTCCATCTCGGACAGTTTATTTGCCAGCATTCTCTGCTCATTTCGAAGTGACTGAAACTCCGTCAGTATTTCCTCAGCGGTTTTCTCTCTTTTTGATGGCGCCTTCGCCGGTTTCTTTTCACTGGCCATATTAGGAATCTCGATCACGAAAGTTCCACTACGACAATATTCGAACAACGTTGGAGAACGTCGTCGACGGCGGACGGGACAGGAGACAGGACACAGTCAGGACAGCCGGTGTTAGGTTTTCTATCCTGTTTCTAGGGAATTTGTAAAGATTGCCATTTCAGTTACCTATCTTTTTTTTGCGAAAAGGGCAGCCAACTTAGAATCTAAATGACTTTTCGAAATTTCCTAAGAATCAAGGAAAATATAAGAACTGTCACGAGCCATTTTGAAGCATCATCGTCTGAGCAGCTGTGCGCAGGATAATCATTCGTTTCATTTCACTGCGAAATGTCAACGTTCGCGGCCACGCGTGCTGCATAGAGTGCGGTTTTGTGAGGTTGACAATCAGACGACGGCGTTTGGTCACATCGAGACGACGTGAACGCAGGCTCGCGAAACGTCGTTGTCATCGTTGTCATCGCGAGTGGTGGTGTGAAACTGATCGGTCGCGGGGGGAACAAAGAGTCTGCGATCTGAACGCCTTTTATTAACCTTGACCCGCTCGTCAATAACGGTGAGTATCCCATCGACGAAAATAATCACTTCGGCAAGTTTTTCGCTTGATATTTAAAAAAAAAGGAGAACTCTGCCCTCGCTTTGTTGAACATTGACTAATTCATGAGATATATCGCTCACTTACTCACGCACACACACACGCGCGCGCGCGCGCGCGAATACATACATACGTGTACACATACACACACATATATACACATACACACACATATATACACATACACACACGTATATACACACACACACGAGATGCTTGCAACGCAGTACAGTGATATGCGTTACGATCCATGTCATCGCGCTTTTGGCTCTGGATCTCGTGTTTTCTTTATGTGTGTGTACACACATAAAGAATACATACGCGCGCACACAGACGCACACACATACATGTAGCTATAAGAGAAACGTTAAATTCGTGACGAATATTCTGGCGATATTTAAAAGTGTAGGTACCACATTTAAACGTCATTTGGCACGTGAGTGGATCACAATAAATGGCTGTGATTTCAGATTTCGTGAGCTGCTGAAGATGGTGATATATGTGCAATAGGAATTTTCCACAAGAGTACTTATTTGAACCTCTGATAAAAGACTCAAGGCTACTGAAATTGTAGCCATGTATTGTCGTGATAAAGAATTGACCGAATTAGCCATGTAAAGACACTTTAAGATGTGCTTGGATTATATCAATAATTTATATTGTGTATGTCCTGTTGGTTAGTACTTATGTATGTATATTTATCTTTTTCCTCTAATAGATAATTTTCTTTATGAATCATTGTTTTTTTTTGTACTTACTGTTTCAGTATACATTACGTGGCAAATTTAAGTAAGACAAAATGAGTGGTGAAAGTACAGAAGAAAACCAGCATTTACCTCTGGTCCTTGAAGAGATAAATCTTGCTTCGTTGCGACCTGTATTCCCAGATACAAGCAAACGATGTGTAGATGTATGGACAGAGAAGATGAATAAGGGAGTATTAACAAATATTAACTTTAGAGAATACTGGCGACTTTGGGTGCCAAAAATATATACTCCAGAGCTTAACGGCAACTGTCTGGAATGGATTGTTGACGAAGACACAGCAAATAGAATGCTTCTGAGACCTCTGGAGGAATTTATTTGTGGTGGTGATCCACAGGTGATTCTCAAGGAGCTTGCTAAGATGGATAATCCACCAACTATATGTGGCAGAATGTTCAAGATGGGCGAACCAACCTACAGTTGCAGGGAGTGCGGTATGGACTCTACGTGTGTTCTCTGCGTCGACTGTTTCAAGCAGTCAGCTCATCGAAACCATAAGTACAAAATGGGCACGTCCAATGGAGGTGGATGCTGTGATTGCGGTGATACAGAAGCCTGGAAAAATGAGCCATTTTGTGAGACACATGTTGTAGGAACCCTGACGAAGGAATCTCGTGGTAATAAGCTACCTGGTGATATTGCGGAGAGAGCGGTAGTGACTTTCGAAGCATTATTGGATTATTGTTACGAACTGCTGACTCTGAGGTTCATTGTATCATTACCGCCGAGTCTCAGCATTAAAGAGACAGCATCAGCATCTTATCCGTATGCGTTCGACCAATTGGATATTTTCGATACTTACTGCACTGTGCTCTTCAACGATGAGCATCATACTTTTGATCAAGTGATAAACATGCTCATACGCGTTCTCAAATGTTCGCAGAAAGAAGCTATTGAATATGTGACTGGTGTTGACAGAGAAGGTAGAACCGTGATAAAATGCTCAGGATTTAAACCGTGCACTGATTTGAAAGGTGAGGTAGAGAAATTCACGTATAGGCATAGCAATCGACCACTCAAGGTACTCGTTCTTCATAGTCACGTAGTTGCCCATCAGACGTTTGCTATAAGACTGCTTAAATGGTTGCAACAATTCATAAGTCATTGCGAGGGTTTTCGTGTCCTGTTTAGCAACATCGCTCTAAACACGAAACTGCCCGATCAGTCAGTTGTTCAGGGCATACTCACGAGAGATTCGCAACTGTGGAAATCCGCCAGAACAGCATGGCACAGATTATTCATATATGGAATGCTCATGGAATATGAGAGTAAAAAAGCGCTTTCTATTGTATTTACTAATAATTACGGATCTGTTATGAAGGATTTCATTAAGGACGATCACGATCATTCATTCTCGATCGTTTCGCTCTCTGTTCAGTTGTTCACCGTGCCGACTCTGGCACATTTGCTCATCGCAAAGCACGAGGCTCTGTTCAACTTGTTAACTACATTTATGTCCGAAAGCTCCCGACGATGTAACGCTGCTGGAAAATTCGAGTTTGAGAGGAACATGCCACACCATAACTTCAAACGGGCGCAGTTTATACTTTATGACCTTCGATATCTGCTGAGCGCAAAACCAGAAGAATGGACGGATGATCTGAGACGTGGCTTCTTGCAAGGTCTCTCGCTACTATTCAATCTCTTTTCCAACATGCAATGCATGGACGCGGTACGTCGACAAGAAGGACAGCATATGGAATACGAGCCTGAATGGGAATCAGCGTTCAATCTGCACATAAAACTGTCACCAGTCATTACATTGGCCTTGGAGTGGTGCAGTTCGGACCGAGTTGTGCTGATCAAGTCCTTTGGATCTCTTCTGAAAAAACTACATGAACAGCAGGCAAACGAGCAACCGCCAAGCCAAGTGCGAGAGCTAGCGAATCATAGCGCAACGTGCCTGCAATATGATGTGGCATCCGAACCAGTTTCTATCCATCTACCGCTCTCAAGATTCCTCGCCGGTCTGTTCTTGCATCTGGAAAAATACAATTTACACTTTCATTCGTCTGAATTTAACAATTCAATAAAACCGACTCCTGAACAGATCATTGATCCCGTACTGACGGCACAGGCTATGATTTCACAGGTGCACGCGGGCATGTGGCGGCGAAATGGTTACTCCTTGCTGAACCAATTATATTTTTATCACAATGTCAAATGCCGTAGCGAGATGTTGGATCGAGATATCGTTTTATTGCAGGTTGGCGCGTCGCTGATAGAAAGCAACGAATTCTTGATTCATGTCCTAAACAGGTTTAATCTCCTTAACTGGGTACAACCAGACTTTGAGGTAAATGCCTTAAAAAATCCAGAGGAAGATAGACTGCGGCAGACGATCAATTTAGTGGAGGAGTTTTTGGGCTTGCTCATCACGATCATTGGCGAAAGATACGTTCCCGGAGTTGGTCAGGTGACCACAGATGATCGTCTCAAGAAGGAAATCATACAGCAATTGTGCATAAAACCGCTCTCGCACTCTGAACTGAGTAAGACGTTACCGGAGGACGTTATGCACAATGTCCAGATCGAATTGGAAAGAATAATACGCGAAGTAGCAACGTTCAAGAAACCAATACATACGTCGGCAAAGGGTGTATATGAACTTAATCCGCACTTGTATTCGGAATACAATGTGTTCTTTTATCATTATACGAAGGAAGAGCACAGCAAGTCCGAGGAAGTCCAACGGAAGCGGCGAAAAGCCCAAGGAGAGCTGGAATGTTGTCCACCGCCAAAGCTGCCTAGACTAACGGAATCGTTCAGTCTGGTAGCGAATCTGTTGCAGTGCGATGTTATGCTTCACATCATGCAGATTGTTCTGGAACGTGCACTTAATTTCATAGCTAGAAGTTTCTCCGAGCCACAGGTGCACAAGGTATTGTATTTGATCGGCTATGCTTTACAAGAACAGGAATCCGGCTATTATCCTTTCCTTGCGTTTCCCGAGCGAGCAGCGAAATGGAAGATCTACAAGTTGCTGGAGAATCTGACCAGTAGTCCGCGCATGGAAGCTCACAAGGATCTACTCACTTGGGTTTTAGCCAAATATCGTCAGGTCGCCAGTTTGTCTGGGAAAGAGACCAGTCCGGCGCCTCTTCAGTTCGAGCAGCAGCAACAGCAAGCAGGCGATGATGTTAATACCAACAAGAAAACGGATAAGGAATGGCGAACAAAAATGGCAGCTCAAAAACGTGCTAAGATCATGGCACAAATGGCAGCAATGCAGAAGCATTTCATGAAGAAGAATGCTACTTTGTTTGATGTAGCAAGTGTAGAAGTTAAAATAACAGGCGCTCGTTGTGGCTCGGCCATGGATTTAACGGAGGCTTCTTCTCAGGAAGGTAATCCTGCTCAGGAAGGTATTGCCGTCGGTCTTAATCAGACTAGTAGGCAGTGCGAACAGAAAATGTACACTTGCATTCTATGCCAAGAGGATCAGACAGTGACGGAAACTGGTTCGGCAATGGTGTTGGCTGCGTTTGTTCAGCAATCCACTGTGTTGTGCCAATGTCGTGACGATTTTCAAGAGCCCGATCCGTTGTACCTGTCAGCGAAATTAGGCGTGTCACCGCACACGAGCACATGTGGCCACGTGATGCACGCTCGCTGCTGGCAAGATTACGTCGACAACGTACTCGCCAAGGAGAACCGGCGACCCTATAGATCACGGCAACAGGCTAGTTTTGACGCAGAGAATCATGAGTATCTTTGTCCGCTATGTGAATGTCTCAGCAACACCGTTCTCCTGCTTGTACCACCTTTAGGAATATTGCAACCGACTCCGGAACCTCAACCGAATATCACTTTTGAGACGTGGATGAAGGTAATGGCGCTCACGTTAGACTGCAAGCCGAACAGAAAATTTGGCATGGAGAGGGACGAGGATACATTAGAGGATGAAAAGATAATCAATCCTATGAAAGTCCTTCGTCAAGAGATTGGATGTGCTTGGGAACCATTTCAAGCGCAGTATTCGCGATCCGGACCACATCTCGCACGAAGGATGGAGGCCATGATCAACATGTACGCTTCACTTTTTGCAAAAACTACATACAAGGGATTTGGTAGTATCGATGGTGATTTCGTGCCTTTGTTAGCCTGGAAGTCAGTAGCATACACGATTCATGCGATAGAATTCCTGTTGCGGGATATGAACAAGCCATTGCTGGGTTCCATGACCTCTCGACAAAGCGACAGTCTCAAGAGCCTCGTGCGATTGTCAGCTCTCTTGGGTGCGAGTTTTTCGAACCGTGCAAATCTCTGGTCGCAGCGCCATCAAATCAAAACTTATGCAGCGTCATTGTTGACGATGTTGATAGAAGCATCGTCCACTGGACCCAGCATTTTCGATATCGATCCATTCGGCGTACTAGTACCACTTATTAATTCGCTGCCGAGCATATTTCACACGAAGGAATATGAGACGGTCCCAAATCCGCCGCCCATCATTACGGGCGATGTGTTTGACTCGCATATGCTCAAGCTCGTATTCCTGTCTCACATAGCAAAAATCCTGTATACATCTGACTTTGCCGACGTGATGGAACTAGATAGTAACGAGACGGAGGACGATGATAACGAAGATGAGAATATCGAAACCAAAATGGACTTTGCCCTGTTTCATATTCTGGGTGTGCATTATGACAAGCAGAAAGCCAGCGACGTATGGCGACGAGTGGAATCCGCCTGTCGACCTTTTCTCCGATGCTGCGCTATCTATTTTCATTACGTGACCGACGTGCCGCCGCTAAGTGAATTGACGGAGGCGCATGGTGATACATACGAAAAACTCTGCCAATACTTGGGATTACCCACTACCTGCGACGCTTTGATCTATTCTCATCTAGAGACTTCCCTGAAGCTGATGGCTGTATGGCGAAGACATTCTACCGTTTGGAATCATATGTCGGGCGAAAGGAAGGTGACGATTATCAAGGACCCATTGAAGGTGAACAAGCTGATAGATTTGCCAGAGGATTATAGTGAGCTCATCAACTCGATATCCCAGTTCACTTGTCCGAACAGGGATCGGGAAGATTCACGTAATCCGACGATGTGCCTGGTCTGCGGCGAGATGCTGTGCTCGCAGAGCTACTGTTGTCAGATAGATTTCAACAAGACAACAGTAGGCGCGTGCACGTTCCATGCGAACAAATGCGGCTACGGCGTCGGTATATTTCTGCGTGTACGTGAATGTGAGATTCTTTTCCTACGCACGCCTAATCGCGGTTCCTTCCTTTGCCCGCCGTATCTCGATGAGTATGGTGAGACGGATCAGGGTTTACGGCGCGGTAATCCATTACATCTCTGCCATGAGAAGTACCAGCGGCTGCACCGTCTATGGCTCGGTCACGGAATCCACGAGTCCGTCACTCGGGCGTTTGAACAATCCTCAAACAACCTGTTACCGACCCAGTGGCAGCATCTATAACTCCATGAGATTCTCTATGGTGCCACAGATCTGACGTTTAGATAAAAAAAGAAAAAAAATGTAAGCAAAGATTTTATTCTTACGCTTAAGCGAAACGTAGCAGCCTAAATATTGATTGTTAATCGTCCACGATTCGATCCGCGTTTGCAAAAAATCGACAAAATTAATTTATTCGGCACGCGCATCAAAGTATGGCTTTATATATTTAAAAATAATATTCGATATGTTCTCTCTCTCTCTCTCTCTCTCTCTCTCTCTCTCTCCCCCTTCTTTCCCCTGTTTCCTTACGCTTTGCAATTGCCTTTTTTAAGAATTTATCGGTATTTCGCGGTTTCAGAATTTACAAAATTTCTATTTTAAAATATTTTTGAAGTTAACAAAATTTTTATTATCTGTTAAAATTATCTGTTACATAAATTAAGATACGGCTCTATTTACATATTTATTCACAAAAATTGTTGCATACGTATTTTGTTGCTTGTAGATGCATAAGTTCGTGACTAACATGATGCCCAGTACTTGACCAAATCGTTTGTTTTTTCTTTTTTTTTTTTTGTAAAATTTTGAAATTTTCTGCGCGTACAAACGACTAAGCCTGTGTTCTGTATCACTCCGAAGACCTAGAACAATGAGCGAGAAGGCAGTCATCTACATAATCACCGTGTAAAAATCATGAGGTCTTGATATTTTTGTGCATAATAGCATCGTACGAGAATGGGGAAAAAGCAAACGCTATTAAGATTTTTATAATTTTTAGTATTCGCGAATTATTCTAGGTCGACGAGTTCTCCCTTTTTTCTCTCCCGTTCTCTCATCTCCAATTGACATTAATTCCTAGACAAAATGTGAAAAGAAAAAAATGAGATAAAAAAGAAGAATTCGTGATTATCAGATGGAGTAATTTTTAAATACAAATTTCAGTGGTGTGTGAAATAAATAATACGTAACTTAATATTTGTTTCTTTCTCTCTATCTCTATCTCTCGTCGCTAGTTTTTTCTAGAATCTAGATGCTACTGGAAGCGATGTTAACAAACCGCTCCGGGAGATTGAAGCTCTGGCGTCGTATTTGACTATTGACTCGTTTGTTCAATTCATACGATTCAACTGATTCTTACGTACACTTGTAACTGAATATAAAAAATATTTTTAGGATTATTGTTATTAGAAGAAGTGTGTAAATATTGAGATTGTAAGATGGGTGAATTTACCGAGTGCTGCTTATCTTTCATTTGTGTATACTGCGATTCGCTACAAGAGAACAATTTGTAGCGGTCTGGTTATTCTATACCAGATCAATCAATCTTTAATTTCCTACGTTTCTTTCTCTGTCCCCCTCGTTAGGATCCTCATCTTTGACGCGAATGTCGCTATTGATAGAAAATCATTGTATTGTATTTCGCGAAAGTCATCGTCGTGACGAGGGATTATACAACGTTATTGCTTTCATCATTACACCTGGAATTGTTTAAACAAAACTATGATGCCTTGCACCCGGTGTTTCTAGCAATACGCACGAAAGGTTGTGCCGCTGTACATTATTAGATCGCTTAGATGATAATGCAATGATCAATTAGTTTTGAAGTACTTGTGAAGATACGTATATATTTATATACGAGTTGCATAATTATATTTGTTATGGACAACAGCATTAATGCGGACGTATACACGTCATTAATTGTACATTGATTTAGATGTATTTTTACTACAATACTGCAGAATGTGGAAATAATGATTTCGAAATGCAGTATAAATTATTTGAATGCTGGATCTAGAAAGATCTTGGTAGATAGATTCTATAATAAATATATCTTTTGAAATTTCAAATGCCGCAGGATCATCATTTGTATTACTTGAAAGTTCTGATATCGCTAAAATAGTCGTTAAGAATTAAGAATTTACCTTGCGGTTCCATTGTGGAAGAATATTAATCGAAATGGCAAGATGTCACTGCTTTACATTTACAACATCACACGTTCGTTTTTCCCTCGATTCTTCGAACGTTGCTTGCGAGACGAGAATGTAAGATGCATGGAAAAAGATTGATTTATACAAACTCACGTTATTTATATTCTTTAGAATTCAATAAATTAATCTTGGAGAGAAAAAAAAGAAATTATTTTATTATAGATAAAAAAATCTCAATTATTTAATATTTAATTTATATATAATTAATTTTTTCTTCAAAAAGAAAAAAATTACTTAAAAAATTTAATGTTTTTATTTTCCTATGATAATTCCGATAAACTTAATTAACGATTAGTTTATCAATAGCTCTATAGTTTTCCTAACACAAATAAAATTATCAATATTTTGACTCGTGAAAAAAATTATATTATTAGAAATAAAAAGTTTTTATGATTAAAAATCTTATTGTAAGATTCGATTTGCCAATTTTACACATCCGAAATCTATTTTTTTACGTGAGACTTTTGAACCCAAAGCATTTTTCTTTTCGCTCTATTTTTCATAAATTTGATTGAATTTTAATTAACTTTTTTTAATTTAAATGTCGAACTGTACGCAATCGATATCTGTAGAAACTGAAGAAAAGATTTCGATATCAATGTTAAAAGTTATGTCAAAAATGTGAAAAAAACTTTTAGAAAAATACGTAAAACAGTGTTCTGTTCAAAAAATTATATCTTTTCCAAGAAAAACCAAAAAGTAAAAACAAGTATTGTTTAAGAAAAAGAAAAGAATGAGCTTTAAGAAAAAAATTATTTTATAATCAGTTGATTGCAAAAAATATCATTATTTCAACGAAGTTGGAAGTATTATTGCAATAAGAGTAAAACAGTGTTTTATTTTAAAAATTATCTCTATGAAAAAAAAACCAAAAAACAAATACCGCTTTAGAAAGATAAAAATATGAACTTCAAAAAAAAGGTGTTAATAATTGGGTTCAAAAAATATGATTTTAATCGAAGCACTTTTCAGTACAATGTTTAAATATAAGTTAATTCGTAAAGACTCTTCACTAATCACAAAAAAAATAGATAAAATAGGGCAACAGGAGTCAGGCGCGGTAATTGCGCAAAACAAACAATGTGGATATAAAATAAAAGTCTTTATTAAATAACCCGCTTATATATTTTGACTCATTTTTGAGCCACCTCTACACATTTACTTTAATATTAAAAAATTATTCTAATGACAATCCAAATTTTGTCCTATAAAATTTGAACACAATTTGGATTGTCATTAGAGTAATTTTTCAATATTAAAGTTTCCATAAGTATGTGGAGGTGAATTAGTCACTCACTGGAATGAATTTGTAGGTATTATAATTATAAAATTAATTTGTCTCTGAAGATGGCTAAAAAATGAGCCGAAACATGTAAGCAAGTTTTATTTAATAAAGACTTTTGTGTTGTATCCATATTGTTTGTTTTGTACAACAATTATTGCGCCTGACTCTTATTACCCTATTTTACCTATTTTCTTTGTGATTACAATATTTCATGTCAGTTAATGATTGTATTCAGCGGATTCAACAATTGAGTGAGCGCTCGTTGCTACTGATATATTCTTCCAGATCTAAAATATTGATTGGATGATCTAAAAGAATACACCAATAACAGCGAGCGCTTACTTAACTGAGTTCGCTGAACGCAGTCATTGAAATTTCGAGCCCATGTATGTACGTGCGTCTCTCTCTCTCTCTCTCTCTTTCTCACGCACGCACACACACAGAGAGAGAGAGAGAGATGCTCTGCTCTATTCTTGTAACACTGATATCACAGACGAAACTCTGTGTACGTAAAGTGGGGCTCTTACGTAATGCATAATACATGAGTCATAAGAAAATAAATCAAAGTCCTTTATTTCCTTCTTTTCCGTAAAATAAAGGACTTTGATTGGTTGATTTTTTTATACTTCATATTTTATACGTTATGTAAGAATCTGTGCTCCCCACTTAAAGCGGAAAGCACAAACTCTTGCATAGCATATAACACGTAATGCATAAGAAAATATATCAATCAAATTCTTCGTTTCTTCCTTTCCATAAAATAAAGAACTCTGATTGGCTGAATTTCTTGTGGACCTTCTACAATAAGTACAGTAACCTTAAGACGTGAACTTAAGCCGATGAGCCAATCAGGATACTGTTTTTAGATCTACGTACTCTAACAGAAATAGAAATATTGGGTTATCTAAAAAGTATCCGCGGTACTTTGTCACTAGATATATGACCATCAACACATATCTAGACAAAAAACCGCGGATACTTTTTAGATGACCCAATAGCAGTAAACTTATCCATAAGGCGAATTTCGATCGATTGAAATTTACCTAATTGCAAGGTTATGGATAAGTTATTTCCATTTTCGTTAGATTACGAACAAACAACATCTCGATTAGCTCATCGGCTTAAGTGTAGTGCGGAAAAGGGCTGCGGAATAGAGAATGCGTCATTAAAACAATTAGCACTTGGAATAACGGAGAATAACGCTAATTGGTTGCTTCTATGGCGCAGTCGTTTTTTGCACCGTATGATTTCACCCTTAGGGTGCGTTCCCATGGGATGCGGAACTGCGGAACGTTCGTGATTGGTCACGGCTTTATTCCGTCGATTTCACCGTTTTCTGGTGTGCAAATTCTGATGCGCAATGCGTTGACGAGATGGAGATAAGTTGTCTTCACTTTATTTTAATTACATAAAAGGATGGAATATAACTGTAATATTGATTACCAAACGAATATTTTTCTCTGTATGAATTAATATGTATAACACAAGAGAATAACAATTTTGTCAAATAATTTGACTGGCTTAACAACATGACGAACAATAATTTTTTTAAACAGTTAACAAGAAACGAACTAATGTAATTTATTTGATTGTTCTTAAGGTCTTTATTTTTATATTTTGTAACATTGATAATGACCCGATCGGAATCGAAACATATATAATTATTATAGCTATTATTTTGTTTATTACAATATATTATGTTCTTTATTATTTATGTCGTTGGCTCTTTGCTCTCATTTTATTCTATATTCAATAATTTATTCTATGTTCTTAAGTCGGCCTCACTATGCAAAACTTC